CTAGAAACAGAATAAACATTTCCATTGCACTGAAATCCATATGAAAGCAAAACTGGAGACACTGGAGGTGGAAGAGACTTATTAGGTCAGCTTGCCCACTCCCCAGCTCTGTTGTCCCTCAAAATCTGCGTGCTCAGTTCCCACACACCTCCCCGACTTCCGCACACAAAACTTGACACAAGCAACCAACATCCATCAGGGTCATTCTGCTAGAAAACAAAAGACAGCAGACTATACTGATGGTAAACCAGCTTAGGATATTTGTCAGTAAGGTCTAAAGATTTTTTTGCAGACTTCATATATGCCAATAGCTAGCAGCTTTTTCATAAAAAATACATGGCTATTAATAATACTCAGTCTTCTTTGTATTTTAGGGAGCCGTTAGAGATGCATGAGAAAACATCAGCACAAAAATATGTTCCAGTATATAATCATGCCATTTCAAACACCATTGGATTATTATTACTGATTAGGGGGAAAAACCCAACAGCTGTCTGGGGAATTCCCTCGATGTCTGGATTATTGATTTAATAGCCACACACTGTCTAGATCCTACCACTCCACTAATGTTTGAAAATGCTGTACATGAGCTTACATTATTTCTTTCCTATTATTGCACAAATATTATGTATTTTAGTCTGATTTTGTGAATTCAAGAATAGCTGTTACTTACACTCCACACAATAGGAATATGAAATAGCAATTGTATCTTTTAAAGTAAAAACTAAGATGAGTATTTAGAGCTACAAAAATTCCAAGTTTTCAGAAAGTATTAAATTGCACCTTCAATTCATTCCAAAATTCTGCTCTTCCCTCTCTCCCGTCCAGGAAATTGGAACTAGAAAAACAAAGCAGAAGTTTAATGCAGGGAAACTATTCAAGTGTGAAGAGGCTGTAATATTACAGTTGCTTAGGTTACGGTGATATGCTTTGGATAGAAGTTTGACATCCTCTCTGGCACATTTAGAATAAGTAAGTAAACACACAAACAAACAAAAGCCTGCTAGCTTTAAATTCTTTGCCTTCATCTGTGAGTGCTGCAGTCAGCCAGTCTCTGGTTTACTGCTTACGACTGGGTTCAGCCTGCGCAGGCTGTGGTTTTTGTTCTGTGTGAGGCTCCCTGTGCATGCCCTGTGCAGCTTGTGAAGCACGCTGATAAGAGGCATGGTGGGAACGGCAGCTTATGTCACCTGGACCAGGAGATATGGCAGTGCTGTGTGGCACAGTGCTGCAGCAGAGGCAGCCCTGGTGGTAACACAGATCTCCTTCGAGTG